CCCCTTTCTTAAAGAATGAACGTTGGGCATATTTCAATTATCATGAGATAGAATCAGTAAAGAGAAATCTAAGTTAGACAACTGCTAGAGCTTAATATAGGGTAGGAAAAATGAAGGACCCAGAGCAGAGGATAGGGGATCAGCCTTAGAATGGTAATTGTTCCACTGCAATTAGAGAAAAGATGAGTTGGATTCAGTTACACTTGTAGAAAGGCAGGCAAAAATTGGGCTTCCCTGGTGACTCAGATGGTAAAGAATCTGCCTGCAATGCAGGAGACCCGGGTTCAGTCACGAGGTTGGGAAGATTCCCTGGCAAAGGGAATGGCAAACCACGTCAGTATTCTTGCCTAGAGAATTTTATGGACAGAGGAGCTGGTGGTCTACAGTTCATGAGATCACAGAGTCAGACAGGACTGAGCGACTACATTTTCACTTTCAGGCAAAAATTAAGGATTCATTTCAACTTCCTCTGTGAAGTAGGAGATGAGGTAGTCCACTAGATTAAGTAGAAGGCTAATGTGCTAAACAGAGATAACATGAGATTTAATTTTTTTAAAGGATACACATTTAATTAGGCTGCACCTAGTCTCAATTGCAGCATGAGGTCTTTAGTTGCAGCATGCAAACTCTTAGTTTTGGCATGTGGGATCTAGTTCCCTGACCAGGGATGGAACCTGGCCCCCCTGCACTGGGAGTGTGGAATCTCAGCTACTAGACCACCAAGGAAGTAGGTGTTATAGCATCTCACCAACTTGAAGTTTAAAATGGCCACTATCATAAAAAGTAAAGAAAAAGAGAAAGGAATTTCAAGAAGCACTGCACAGGCTTATAAGTTCGGAGACAATGAATTTCTAATACCAGTAATAGTGCAATTCTTTGATTCCCTTACAGCTCTTGCCCAAGCCAAAATCGGGCAACTAAGACTGATACAGGATTTGTATTTTGGAAGGCAAATGAACAAAAAGATAAAAGGACAAAGTTAAAGGTATTGGCAATAGAACACTTAAATCAGAGTGGGTAAAGTGGAAAGGCTGGATAAGTAAAAAAGGAAAAACAGCAGGTTCCTCACAGAAAAGAATGGAGTAGAAGTCCAAATGAGGCCAAGTAAAAGTGTAGTGAGAACAATGAAGTAAGAAAGCTGAGAGAAGTGTAGGCTGACTAAATGAGTATGACATTATAGAAGTGATTTTCCCCACGATGGGCCTACTCAAGCATTGTACTAAATGTACATGTTTATGCATATGTGCATAAATTATACACAGGATAAATTTTAATCAATACTTGATTAATAAAGTTTAATTCTGACTAACCTTAGGTTACTGTTCAAAAAATATTTTCATGTCTTCCTTACACAGTAGGACAGAGAATCTTTCACTGACAACATATTGATTTGAATAAAGCAAAAAATTAAAAATCACTGGTCTAGGTCAACCTGTTCATTTTACAGAAAAGGAAACAGGCTTCCAGAAGTAAAATGACTTACCCAAATTCAGCAACTTGCCATAGCAACAGAACTTTAAAAATAAATGGAACTTTGCAGAAAATGGTTTTTCTGTATTAAAAAATGGCTTACCTCACTCTTTCAGAATAAAAGTATTTCATAATTATCAACCTTTCTTATAAAAATCTGACACAAATATTTGCCACAAATATTGTATTTATCATGCTTACAAATTAAATACTGTGTTCATCATGCTTATAAATGTTACAAATGATTTATAAGTCCCTGTCTAAAGACCTGAACTTATAATTTCTATAAATTTGCCAAAACCTATCAAGGAAAAATTGACAAGCTTAGTCAATATAAATGCTGCATTTTATTTATACTGTTGACTAAAATTATCCCATTTCTTCTATAATCTTCCTCAACACAGAATTACACACAGCCACTACGAGAAAAGGCTGAATTTGGCAAGAGGGATGAACCTCTTGATATTTGTCTTATCAGCAGTTTAACCACTCAACAGATATATTTAAAACAAAAAAGAGCTCAGAACATGTGCCAGGCATTGAGCTAAATGTTAGAAAAACAGTAAGAACTGCTTTCCTGTCTACAGACCACATGCTCACCAAGGACCAATGGTTGTGTATTGAAACCAATTTAAATCCCTTGATCAAAGAGTAAATATTTTTATTTATCCACTATGCCATATCTAATGATTAAAAAACTGTCATACCTCACACTTCAAGAAATTTTAAATCTGGCTATGGAGATGAAATAGATAAGTATTGTATCTATATGCTGATGATTAGCTATTTTATCAAATACCAGAACTTTATACCTACTGGATGTTAGCCAATAAAGCACTCTAAGACACAGTGAAAGTTCTATTGATAAAGTTCTATTGATAAAGTACAATGATATCACTGCCAAATATGTTATAACTGGCTGTCTCACCAAGAAAATAATTAATTTATTGGCAAATTTCACTTTTAAATCGAGTTGAACTACTTCATTTATTCCCCAGTCAAACTCACATTTTAAACTATTCCACAAAAATTTAACCTGAAGAAACGAAAAGTTTCTACAACTTCCTGCGTGCAAGCGAATTTACTTCAGTCCTGCCTATTTTCGACCGTATGGACCATAGCCTGCCAGGCTCCTCTGTCCATGATATTCTCCAGGCAAGAATTGTGGAGTGGGTTGCCATTTCCTTCTCCAAGGGATCTTCCCAACCCAGGGACTGAACCCACATCTCTTAAGTCTCCCACATGGGCAGGAAGGTTCTTTTATTATTAGCACCACCTGGGAAGCCCATTCTACACACTAATCATTCCCAAAAAAACATACTGTAAATCCTTAAAATTTCAAAATAAAAATTCCTCAAACATTTCACAAATAGGAGCAAGACCTCCTCCAAGAAATTCCACTTGAATCCAATTATTTGTAGAGTCCATATTTGCAAATCCTACTTTCTAATATTGATTTGCAATCCCCAAATCAATACTCACAACACTTTCACAATATTCACAAACATGCAGGGGTGGTGAAAAATTTGAATTGCTCAATGCTAAGGTCAAACAAGGCTATGTCCTGCCTTCCTGTTTTGACTCATTATTGTAAACAAGCATCCTTGCCATGATCTACCTAGCATCACATTTTTTATATTTTTGTTGGCAATTTCACTGTTTAAAATAACCCCCAAGCCAACTATTATATATAGTTTGGATAAACAAGGTCCTACACTGTACAGCACAGCGAACTAATATACTGTGATAAATCACAATGAAAACAAACATGAAAAAGAATGTATATATATAAACTGAAAAAAAAATTTTTTTAAACTGAAACACTTTGCTGTACAGCAATGAACACACTATAAATCAACTATACTTGAAAAAAATTAATTAAAAAAAACAAATTAAATTAAAACTAAGAGAAAAAATGGCCCCCAAGCCCAGGGCTGACATGCTGCCCAGAGTATCTAAGTACAAAACTGTGATGTGCCTTAGAGGGAAAATATACATATTACATAAGCTTCGATCAGACATGTTACAGTGCTGTTGGCCATGAGTACAAAACTGATGAATCAATAATATATAACAAATAAGGTGTCCTTAAACAGAAAGACATATAAGGTTATACACTGACAAAGGGTTCAGTTGCTCAGTTGTGCCCCACTCTGTGGCCCCATGGACCAAAGCCACCCAGGATCCTCTATGTAATTTTCCAGGCAAGAATAGTAGTGAGTTGCCATTCCCTACTCTAGGGAATCTGTCATACCCAGGAATAGAACTCACATCTCTTGCACCTCCTGCATAGGCAGGCAGGCTCTTTAGCCCCAGCGCCACCTGGGAAGCCCAATATATATTGATAGGTGGCGAAATACTAATATATTGTGACCAGAGGCTCACAAGAACCTAAGCCTATATGTCCCCTAGGAGCAGTGGTTCAGTATTTGCTAATTCAGCATTCAGTGACTACAGAATAAAACTACCACAAGTAACAAGAATCAACTATACTTTGAATGTGACACTTTTATGCATGTAAAATGAACTAACAAGACAGGGCAATAGTCTGTTCACCAAAATGAGCTAACATTTTCCTATAGCATTATTCTATGAGAATACTCAATAAATACGTGTCAAGTAAGTGGTTCATAAAATTAAGTTCATAAAATAAGCTCCAGTTTTATGTTAAAGACTCCTATCTTCAAAATTCTTTCCCAGCTAGCACAAAGATAGGCCAGTCCTTTGCTATTATTTGGAGTATGTGGAGGCATACATTAGAAGCTAAAGCTCATAAACCTCAAGTCAGAGAAGAAAAAAGTTCAGTCAGACTGATCATTCATTGAAGTTCTCATTATTGTACAATTAGCCCCTGAACAATACAGGTCCACTTACATGGGTTTTGGTTGTTTTTTTTTTTTTTTTTTTTTTTTTTGGCCACCTGTGGGATCCTAGTTCCAAGACCAGGGGTGAAACTGCACCCCTGCATTGGAACTCGAGGAACCTTAAACACTGGACCACCATGGAAAGTGCAACACGTGAAGCTTTTTTTTTTCCCCAATAAATATGTACTACAGGATCCGAGGTACGCCGACTCCTTGAATATGGAACCTCTGATACTGGAAGGCAGACTGTAAAGTTACCTTTGAAATTCCGGCTGCATAAAGGATCAGCATTCTAATCCCCCTGCTCCCCTCCACTCCTGCCTCCCCCCAACCCTTCCCTTCCCACCTTTCAAAGGTCAACCGTATTTTAATTCAGTAGATTTCATCAGCTTTCACGATGTTGAGAAAATAACCTGTGATCACACATAATAGCAAGCATAAACAAGTGTCTCAGTTTTATTTAACATTTTTAAATGACTGCACACTCTTTCTCTAATGCACCATACTAAAAAAGTGCAAAATATTTACCATAAGCATATGGTCAGGAAAGTGAACACCCACAACGGTTGCACCATCAACTCAACTAAGCACTTTTACTCATTTAAAGAGGGCACAGCGTTTTCTGAAAGTTGCTGGACGTTAACAGCTGCTCCACATCTTCTTCCACTACTCTCTTCTGAACTGGTCCAGGTCGCTCCGCACGTAGCCACGTGGGGTCAAGAAGGCGGTGAAAAACACCAGGAGTGCAACAGCCACTTCCTGGAACAGGAGAACAGCGTTGTTAGGAGGGAGGCTTCCGAAGTGGAAAACTGCTTCAAACGTTTTGAGGAGTTTGGCTGTGGTCCTCGACCTGGGGGCCCGGCGACACCTAAAAAGCAGAACTCCCTTCCTAGGTGACCCAGTAGAAATTTCTGAGGGAAACTCATTTTCCTCCTCATGGTGTCCCCGTTCTGACCTTTGAAATCTGGAAGCTAGACGCTGCCCGCAATTTCCAACGTTTTAGGGAAAATGCTAGGTCTTGGCAATTTAGGGCGCTATCGAAGTGAGAGATATTCTGAGGTGCAACGACGACTGTGCCCCTCGGACTTCGCGCCCAAAACGGTACCGACGACGAAGGTCCGGTCCTCTGAGGCCCTCGCGCTCCTCGAAGTCCCCGCTTCCCACCGCCTCAGGCCCAACCCCGGCGCCCTCACCGCGACGCCGCCTCAGCTCCCCAGCGGCCTCCGAGCTCCCTGGACCACACAAGCCTCCCACCCGAGCAGCGGCCGCGTCCTCCTTGCCTCCACCCGTCGGGGCGCTCCCGTCTAAGCCACGCGCTTCCGCCCGCCGCGTCCCGCCTTCGCCGCGGGGAGAATGGGCCCCAACTCACAATGGTCGACATCGGGCGCTGACGCGGAGGCTCCGAGTGGGGCATGCGCAGGCCAGGCTGCAGGACCACCAGGGTCACACGGCGGCGAGGAAACAGGCAGAGCACGGGCAGGCGCGGCATGACTCGTCCGGTGCGGCGAAGCCAGGAGTAGACGCGAAGCGCGGTGAGGAGACGTGAGGAGCAGCGAGGCAACCCGAGGCTGGACCGCGGGAGCCTCAGAACAGGGCAGGAGACTCGTCTGCGCATGTTCTCGGGGACACAGGAGGTGTGGGGGGGAGCACTACGCCTCTCTCCCTTATAAGCCCGGCCCTGACACGCCCCTTCCGCTCAGCACCCTGCTGAGCCCAGACCTTACGCACGCATCCGCTGCCTCAGTCCTCGTGCTCTGCTCCTCGCGTATCACCTGCCGTTCCACCATCCCTGTGCTCATAGGCCCTGCTTCCTACGCATGCCACACCGCCCTCTCCCCTACCCGCCCTGCCTAACTTCCTAACCCCACGGCACACAGTATCTCGATTTTCTGTTGGGTGGGTATCAGACGGTAAAGAATCCGCCTCCAATGCGGGATACCTGGGTTCGATCCCTGGGTTGGGAAGATCCCCTGGAGGCGTGCATGGCAACCCACTCTAGTATTCTTGCCTGCAGAATCCCCATGGACAGAAGAGCCTGGTGGTCTACAGTCCGTGGGGTCACAAAAAGTCGAACACAACTAAGCGACTAAGCGTACAAGATAAAGCATAGCGAACACCGCTAGACTTAACTTACCTTTATCTTTCATTTCTCCCTACCTGTATCTCTCTACGTGCCATCACTTCTCTTGGTGGAGTTTATAACGTTTATACTCTGTTCTCTAATGTTAATTACATTTTCTATGCATTGTCGTTAATTCCCCAAATTAAAATCAAGAACGAGTATCTAAAAATATTCATGGCAGGATCAAATCGATTGTTTGGATCCAGTAAAGAAGTGGAAATTCTTGAAGGAAAAATGGTATATTGTGATTTTCAAATTTAATAATATAAGAAGCCTTTGCCTACTCCCTAAGATGATTTAGTTTTTTCACAGTATTTCATTTTTAGGCTTATTGTGCAACTAGCATTCTAGAGTTTCTTTTGATTTGCTCAGGTTCAACTACCTGATTTCTTCCTCTTTTTGGATTCCTATTTCATTTTGCTTCCTATTTTTTCGTTTAATTCTTATTTCAATTCCTTAAGCAATTCTTTCAGGAAGGGAATGTGAGTAATAAATTTCTTCAATCCCTAAAAGTCAAAGAAATATTTTGCTCCACACTTAATTGCTAATTTGGCTGGGTATACAATGCTAGACTCAAAATAATTTCCTTCAGGAATTTTAAAGGCATTATTTCCTTTGTTTTCTAGCAGCTAGTGTAACTGCTAAGTGTGATCCAATATAATTCTTATTCCTCTGATGTAGCCTCTTTTTTTTTTTTTCTTGGAATCTTTTTGTGTTTGGACTTGTTAAGCTTCTCCAAGTAATGGCTAGATAAGGTTCTTTCTTCATTCATACAAATCAGCAGTGGGTGAGACTTTTCAACTTCAAGACTTGGAACTTTCTTAACCTCTGGGAGATCTACTTCTGTGTATTATTTATGTCCTTCTCTCTATTTTCTCTAGTCTGTCTTCTCTTCACATGAAGAGATCAAGAGAGCTGTCTGTGGTCTCTTTTATTATGTAAGACAGTAATCCCAATCACTAGGGTCTACTCTTAACCTAATCTTCTCCCAGAGGCTACCTCTTAATACCATCACTTTGGAAATTAGGACTTCAACATATGAATGTGGAAGGAATGTAAACCTTCAGTCCATTGCATTTAGTAAGAAAAAAAGAGTACAAAAACATCTCATTAAAAAATTTTAGTTCTTAAAAATTATCACACAAAAAATTTTTGTAACTGTGTATGGTAACAGATGTTAATTATATTTATTGTAGGAATCCTTTATCAATATATAACCATACATCTCAGATGGGACTCAAACCCTCAATCTTCCAACGGAAACCATACAACTCATCTCAGGACTTAATGAAGCTGAGGTTTTTTACATCTCAGCACAGAAGGAATTCTGCAAGAGGCAAAGTTATAAGAAGTAAATTTATTAATAATCTTTGTAAAGAAGTTGCAGGAGCATGAGACATGAAAGGATGGTCATGTCCCAGGTCTTGGGCTAGTTCCTAGGATGGGCCACCAAATGCAGGTTCTTGGCTTCCAGCAGGAAAGCATTCAAGAACAAGTCATAGTAAAGTGAAAGCAGAGACACACATTCCATAGACAGAATAGGGTCTGTCTCGGAAGGTGAGAGCGGACCTTGTAGTTATTTTTCATGAACTGGGTAACTTCATAGGCTAGTGAGTAGGAGGATTATTCCAACTGTTTCAAAAAAGGGGCAGGGATTTCCAGGAACTGGGTGAGCCACCATTCACTTTTTGGTCTTCTAGAACCTGCCCCAGCACTGTCATGGTGCTTGTGGGTGTGTCCTGTAGCATGCTAATATATTACAATGAGCATTACAGTTGTATTACAATATAATATCCAACCATGTTGCTGCAAATGACAATATTTCATTCTTCTCAGTGACTGAGCCAGCCACTTACCCATTCCCCATGGCTCTCTTTCCCCTGCTCTGCGTTATGGATGGCCAATAAGGACCATCTGAACATGGTAATTGTGTGTCTCATTCACTAGGAGGTGAGCATTGCAAGAGTAGGTTTGTCTGACTTGCTCACCCCAAAGCACCCCAAGAAGCACCTCACACACAGTAGGTACCCAGTAAATATTTGTTGAATGCATGAATAATGAATGCTCATGTCTCCCTGCTCTCTTTTCCTTCCCACCTAAAGACACTCTCTGGAGAAAACACCCTCTGCAACACAGTAGAAATTGACAATTAAGAAGGCACTAGATTGTGAAGAGAGGGAATGAATGCACGATGGCACCTGTAAATATTGGTCACCCATTTGTAGCCATGAGACTATGGGAGAGCACAGCTGGAGGAGGGGTACTAATGGATCATTGTTCCCAGATATTTCTCTCCCTCTATGGGCCAAAGAGGACTTGAGTTTTGACTACTCAGTTTTTTTCTCTCCCTCACCCTTCAAAATGGGGGGAGTGGGAGTGTCAGAACTATCCCTTTAAATTCTTATAATCCAGAATCAGGGGGAAACAGAAGGGGCAAAGGACAGGAAGCTCAAGACACCACTGGGTGCAATTTTCTGAAGAGCTGGAAAAAAAAGAAATTGTACTATGTGAGTGAAGTAGAAAGAAAAATGAAAGGGAATTTTTAGAAGGATCACAGTAGTTTATCTATCCCAGTGGTAAAGAGCCTGCCTGCCAGTGCAGGCTTAGAGAAGCAGGTTCAGTCCCTGGGTAGGGAAGATCCCCTGCAGGAGGGCACAACAACCTACTCCAGTATTCTTGCCTGGAGAATACCATGGACAGAGGAGCCTTGTGGGCTACAGTTCATAGGATGGCACAGAGTTGGGTACAACTGAAGAGACTTAGCACAGCACAGCACTAGTGTCCCCTTTAGAATATGTGGATAATTGGAATGAAACTTGAAAATTTGAAACTGTTTTGGGAGTGACGAGGTATATAGTTCAATTGACATATCTAAACCCTAGGTCATCTTTTATTATTCATATAAACATTTCATATCAATAAGACTGTATGTTTAGGCCATTTACATTAAATGTAAATGAATGAGTAATAAAAGGCAAAGGTTGTCATATTAGATTTGTTTTTTAAAGATCCAGCTATATACTGCCTAAAGGAAACCCACTTGAAGGTATAGAGAGACAAAAATGAAAAGGTGGCAAGAGATAAACCATGCAAATGTAAATTAGAGAAAGCTGAAGTTGCTGTACTCTCAAAGTAAATGTCCTTGCAAAGAATTTTCACACAGATGAAGACTAAGGGATAATGACTAAGGGGTCAACTCATTACAGGATATTAAATTCCTAAATGTTTATGCAATTAATAACAAAGCTTCAACATATTTGAAGAAAAAATAGACAAATCTAAAATTATAGTTTGAGAATTTAAAACTCCTCTTTCAATAATGCTTGTTTTCAATAAAGCAAGTAGACAGAACATCAGTAAAGATATGGAAGACTTAACACCATCAATATTGAAGTAATTGACATTTATAGAACACTCCATTTAATGATACCCAAACACACATTTTTTTGAAGTATACATGCAATATTTACCAAGATACAATATATTCTGTATTATAAAACAAGTCACAATTATTTGAAAGGATTGAACTCATACATGGTATATCCTTTGACAACAATGGGATTAAATTAGAAATCAAAACCAAAAGGGTATCTGAAAAAACTCCTAGAATATTTAAAAATTGAACAATACACTTCCGAGTGACCAATGAGTCAAAGAAGAAATCACAAGGGAAATTAGAAAAGATTTTCAACTGAATTAAAATTAAAACACACGCATCAAATTTTGTGGAATGTAGCTCAAGCAGTACTCAGAAGGAAATTTTTGGCATTAAACATAGGTATTAGAAAAGAGGAGAGGTGTAATTAAGTCTTTCATCTCTAATTGCGAAATGAGAGACTTTGTTTATTATGAAAGACTTTTTTATTTCTCTCTAGATAGGAGCCAAGAGGGAATACCGAAAAGATGTTGGACTTCAAAATTCTACAAACCTAGGTTCATTTCCTGTCTTCGATATTTTTAAACTGTGTCACTTTGGACCACTTACATCTTCTCTTAGCCTTAGTTTCCTCACTTGTGGAATTGAATTAATAATACTTGTAGTTCATGGTTAAAGGTGCTTTTGGTACATAAAAGATCACATAATGATATCATGCTTTCTTGTGAATTGTCAATAGGGGAGGGAAAATTGTGGATTAGGCCACAACAAATAGTCAAAGTATATCTAAAGTGCCATGTACAATATAAGGGGTAGGGGAGTAAGAGGTACAAACTCATGGATATAAAATAAGCTACAAGAATATATTGTACAACACAGGGAACATAGCCAATATTTTATAAGAACTATAAATGAAGTCTAACCTCTAAAAATTGTGAATCACTATGTTGTACACCTGTAACTTATATAATATTGTGTATTACTTATAAAAACTTTTAAGATTTATTTTAAAAAGGAGAAGCATGTAGTAAAGTTGCTGACCACGAGACATAAAATGAGCTATCATATTGTTAGAGAAATTCAGACTACTGTCATCTACAAATTGGTAGGGTGCTTG